TATATATATAATATTTTATAGAATGTGTAAATATGTTGTTTTCAAATTGAGGAATTTCATCAAATATGAAGATTATTATTTGAACTTGTAAAATAATTCTGATTTGATGTTTATATCATTTTTTTTATCTACCTTTGTAGCTATTTCAAATTATACTCTTAGAGCTCAAATAAGAATTAATAAAGAAATATTCTCGAAGGAGCAGAAAAAATTGTATGGAAAGCCAAGTTCAAATTATTATTCTTAGACAAATCCCTGAATCAGTTTACAGTATCTTAGTTTCATACTGCTTTGAAATATCTCTGTTTAAGCACTTGTCATTATGTTAGGGATAAATTAATCTCAATTTGTATCAATCCGTAAAACAACTATTGACTAACTCTGTTAATAAGAACATATCATCAGTTTTTGGAAATAAGATTATGGGAGCAGGAATATTGGTTGATAAGTTCAAAAAAATAAGTTCAGAAAAATTATGCCCAAAAAAATACTGATTGAAGATAAAATTATTTTTGAGATTAAAACAAAATTATTATTTTGTAGATATTATAGTTTTTTGTAATATCACATTTTTATGTATGTTAAATTTAAAATGATCTCAGTGATATTTCGGATTGTTTACAGTATCTTTCATTTTTATTTTATTTGTTTAGAATTATTCTATAATCTATTATTGATGATCATTTTATGTGATTGAATTATCAATATTTTTCTTTTCTTGTGACAATTTATAATAAATGTGTAATATATCTTAAAAATTTATGTTGAATAAATATTTTTCTTGATTAATGATATATATATATTTTTTATGATGTTTGTAATTAATCTTTTATGTTTCTTATGATTAAAAAATCAAACACAATTATTTTGCCACAAATTTCATTTTTATTACCAAATCACTTTAATATTAAAAACATACATATTCAAACTTTCATTTTTGAAATCTTAGGTAGCTATAATCCTCAATAAATCCTATATAAATAGCATGTATGTCATGATTAGAAATAATATTAAAAATTTTATCTCTTAGAATAAGAACGTCTTACAGAATTTATAATATAATTAGAAATATGTGGAAAATTAATCATCATGATCAAGGAATTAATATATTATATAAAGAATTTTATATATGTCAAATCGTCCTGTAAATGATGAAATCTTTCTTTTAAAACTTCATTTTCTTGTATAATATTTTGTAATTTAATTTGCATTACTTCAGGTTTGTTAGAATTCAACATTCGTATTGCAAATATCATCGATATTTGCAAAATAAATTTAGTGTAATACCTTTTCTCATGATTTTTTTTTTCTACCAACGCGGAATAATTCTGATGAATAGAAATGAATCTAAAAAATAAGAGGTACACATTAGAAAAAAAATCTCACCAACTATAAACATAACATTAATGGGTGCTTTCCAATTGCAATATCCCTAGACACTTTCATGCATACGGTGACAAGGAGATCGATTCTGTATCTTGAAATAAGATGAAAATTATAAAAGTGAGGGAATTTATTAGAATACTGATTATTTTATTGGTCAGCACCTAGTAAATTTGCTCGCTTTTGTAATTTTCATCTTGTTTGAAGATACAAAATCGATCTCAAGTTTTAATTGTCCATTATCGTCAACACAACGCTACATCTGTATTCAGTCGAGGGCTGTATAAGAGCTTGTGTTTTCTAGTGACAATTATATGTTACTAACTGCGGCGGCTATAAATGAGGTTGGAAGATGTTGAGGGACTGGCACTTCTACTTTTTTTTATTTAATACAGGTGGAAAAAGCTACATTTAATCTAACTCTATCTGAAACGAATCTTAACTATGCACAGCGTACACATTCTGTCTCAATTGAATCGTGCACAATGATACACTTTGTGCATTCCTGTGTATATTTGTATTAAGATGTGTTAAGCAATTGAAAAGCATCCAATGGGTGCATCCAGAACATGATGAAAGGGATAACATGGTGTGCTTAGTTTGCAAGCATTTCTCTCTAAATCTCCGTCGTCTCTGTCTATTGAATGTTGTGTTAGGGAAAAAGGCTGCCAATTGTGAAACACTAAACATGGGGCGATATTCATAGTCCATTTTTATTTTAAAACAGTCTTAAATAATGTTTTAAGATGCTATAGTCCTCGGATTGACTTATGACATCTTAAGAGTGTATTTAAGACAGTTTTATATGTAAGAATCGACTATGAATAGTCTATGGACCGATCTGTTTCGCGTCGTGAAATTGGTACTGAATCTTTCCTTATTTAACACACTTTATGTTTCTCTTTTTATAGAAAAAGATGCATGTCAAACTGTTCCGTTTCACTGTAAATTTCTGTGTCATGGGATGTCAGTCTAATTCCTTATTCCTTCTATTGTGCGCAGAGCCAAAGTTTCTAAACGCTCTTTAGACCCTACGCATAATGAAGGAAATATTAGGAATAAGAATAAATATGTATAACCACAACAAAAGAAATAAGGAATTAGGAATAAGGAATAAAGATTTCAATCTATCAGATATCGGATATACCGGAATATACGGTTTCTGATAAGTTGGAATCATTATTCCTTATTTCTTCTATTGTGGCCGCATCATTAAGATTTCAACTTACCAGAAACCCTATATTCCAGTATATCAGTGTGATAGATTGAAATCTTAATATTTATTCCTATTCCTAATATTTGTTCTATGAGGTCTCACCAACTCCGATTAACATAGGCTACAGTCCACTTGATGCTACAATATTTCGAAGCATATTTTTTGATTGGTCAATTAGTAAAATTCTTTCTTCCGATTAATCAATCAAACGCATCAAAATATTTGTAACGCCAAATGGACCGTATCTTTAATCGATTGATTGGCTGCGTTCAGCAGATTCAATAGTTGAGTGAACGCTCGCTGTAATGTGTATTCTTTTAGATCATCCAATCAGCGTTTTATATCTGGAAGAATATATTGGACGAGTTCAAGACGGCAAAAAGGCTAGGCATACTTACCGAGCGATTGAATATGATTGGTTGGATCTATAAGTAACGATCAATTATATTCATTTGCTCGGCGAGGCTAGCCGCTTTGTCAATTTGAATGCGCCCATTAATAGTTAGCCCATTGTTACATTGGCTGCGTTCAGCGAACTCAACAATTGAGTGAGCGCTCATTGTTATTGCTGTATTCTTTTATATTATCCAATCAGCATTTTAGATCTGGAAAAATATATCAATAGCAGCGAGCGCTCAACTGTTGAATTCGCTGAACGCAGCCATTGCTGCAGCTGAACTGATCAATTGCATTTGTTATTCAGCAGAAGTGATCAATCACGGTTGACTTAATCGACCGATTAAGGATTGCGTTCTGTTTTATGCATAATGCGCATGATACATTATTTATCCTTGTTTAACATTTGGTGAATAAAACGGGAAGCACAAACTGTTAGGCGGTATTCATAATCTTATATTCAAAATCGTCTTAAGTACGGTCTTAAGAAGTTACGAACCAATCAGATGCATAATATCTTAAGACGCTGCATTAGCGTCTTAAGACATTACTTAAGATCTTGAAACAAAACTGGACTATGAATATCGGCCTTACATAATGCGTAATACATGAGGCATAAGAAAATGAATCAATCAAAGTCCTTTATTTCCTTCCTTTCTGTAAAATAAAGGACTGATCGGTTGATTTCTTTATGCTTTATGTTTTATGCATAAGAAAATGTACTAATTGAAGTTCTCCGTTTTCTTCCTTTCCAAGAAATAAAGAACTTTGCTTGATTCAATTTCTTATGCCTCCGACACAGCGTGCGCGACACGCGATATCCAAGTGTACAGCTTTATTCTAAAAATACTGTCATTGGATCGTGTTGCGCGCATCGCTCTGGTGCCAGAATCATTATGCGTTATGCAAGAGTCTGTACTTCCCGTTTAAGGATAAATAATGCAGCATGCGCAACATGCGTGAAATGGAACGTAGCCTAGGTTAATCAGAATGATGAAACTGACCCTATTGTGCGTAGGCCCTTAAACTTTAGTCATGTGATTGGCGCTGTTGTCACTGTCAATTCAATTGTCACCAGTTGTCACTGAAAATTATTATCGCCGCATGCGCTAGTTGGAGCTATTTGTTGATTCTCAGTAAATGTAATAAATACTGTCGTGAACGAGTTTTAACATCACGATGGGGATATTAGAAAAGATCTCAGAAATTGAGAAGGAGATTGCTCGCACGCAGAAGAACAAAGGTGAATACTGGGCCGACATTGTCACGTTGCTTCCCTTAACCTACCTTTCCATTTTGTTTCTCAATATTATCACG